CCTCCTCCGGCGGGTGCCCCTTAGAGTCCACAGTGAGCGCTAATGGTGTGTTCCATGAGAGCTTCTTAGTGCGGAAAAAAATTCATTGCAATTCGGGTCCTCGAAAAGACTGTGGTACGTTTCCTCTGAGAAATACGATTGCCTTAGTTACGACAAAGTGATTCAAATTATGCCCTAATATGCGAGCTAATGCTGTAGAAGAGAGTAGATATAGAGACAGAATATATGTTATCATTCTCATTTGTGACGTTTTGTTATCAGATATTATTTTCTTGAATACCTGAAAAAATGATTTCGTTCTAAATTATTCCACATTGCACTTTTTCCCGAGGTCGTTGACTAATTAAGTTACGATGAAAAAGTCAGTGGTACTAATTTTCATAATGCATATTCATTCAATATTGTTAACTGAGGTGAAACTTTTTTATTGAGCGACTATTCTTTTCAAGGAATGCCGACACATTCCTTCTACCGTAACTGATACTAAGCGCATTTGATGACAAGAGACCATGTAGTATATGATTTTCATTTTCCCTCTTAATTGATTGTTCCTGAAATTAGTTTTCCTTGGATTGTCGTTGTTATACAGTACAGTGGAAGAGCTTGGCACAGTAACAAAATAAGCCACACCAGCTGTAGGACATTTTCGCTAATCTTAAATATTAATACCTCGATTTTAGTTGAAAATGGCTGGTGTATATATATATATATATATATACTATATAATATTATATATATATATCTATATATATACTATATATATATGTGTGTGTGTGTGTGTGTGGTGTGTGTGTGTGTGCGCGCGCGCGAACTAGACGTATAGAAACGAAATAAGAATTACTTTGACCAAATTCGAGATATAAACATATCCGGATAGCTCGAGACTTACTGTGGCTAGTGTGACTTATCTTCTTATTGAGCCAAGCCTTTCAGTTATACGAATTACGTTATTAACAATATTTTATTATGCCCAGATCCATGCGTTCATTGCTCGCACGACCCTTCACTCCCCTAGCAGACGCGAGTACAGGTACCTACATCTCCTCTCGACTTACTCTGCATGCCGTTCTTCTTCGTGTGGCACTCAGCCGTGGCCTACCCCGCCCGCTCCTGCGTGCCGGCCGCCCCCACGGCCTTTGACGTCGCCGCCGCCGCCACCACCCAGCTCCCGGCGCCGAGATCGGAGGCGCGATTGGGTCGCAGGAACGCACTCCGTTTCTTCGCCGGGTGACGCACGCGAAACGCCCCCCTCCTCCTCCTCCGCCCAGCGAGCGGGAGGTGCCCTCGATTGCCAACGACGCGCAAGATCGGGATTGCGATCGCAAGATGCGAATACGTCTTCAGGAGGGAGGAGGTATTGCCGGAGTTCGGAGTTTGCTGCCCGAAAGCCTTCAGTCACAGCTGACGTAGGAGCGTTTGGCCAGCGCGGCGATCGCTGTTTTGGAGTTGCGAAGTTCGTGGCTCATCTGGAGTTTGACCCATCATCAAAGGCGAGAGTGTTTCAGTTATGAATGCGTCGGGATCAGTTTGTTGTGATATTCAGTTGAAACGGCCAACATAGGATTACCCTTCTCATGCTAATTTTAGACCGCAAACCCGTTGACCTATCTGCGCGTGAATTGGATTGGTTGGTGTTAGTGTTATTCCACTGCTCTCAGTATCTCCTTACGCGATGGCGTCTGTTAATGGGGCCTGAGCTGGACGTGAACGCAGAGCTGGCTGGGGCAGAGGTTGCTCTGTTTTCCTGATTGTTGATTGAGTAATTCAAATAAATCACACTGTAGATTACGTTTTGTTGTTCAGAGCGCACAAAACAGCGGTTGCGGTGGGCTGGGAGATTTTTGAGATATGAGGTGTATGGCATATGCATGGCTAGGGTAGTGACCGGGCTCCCATTTATTTACGCTTTATGTAGTCCAACACCATCATTCTCCGTAAATGTCTCGTTTTATGTTCCGTGCGTTATCTGAAAATTATCCCATTTTTTTGTTTCGTTGCGGAGCGTTGTTACATGTCTCCTTTAGCATATGGCGCAATTCAAGCCGTATAATTCTTTGACATTTTTAAAGCAGTAAAAAATTTATCTAAAGTCAATGACTCGCACGTCTGTCCGCTAACAATGATTATACAGTGTCTCCCAGAGAAGAGCCGTAAAAATTCATATAAAAAATAATTGGAATATTTGGCGAAGCGTTTGTGCATTGTGATTGAAACCTATATATACTTCGAAAGGCAAAAAGCATTTTTTACTCTGTGCGCTGTTCTTAAGAAATGCACTTTATATCAACTATGAAAGAACTCTGTTAAATTTTATGCGTGAAAAAATATTGCTGCAAATTTTTATTCTCGTCAGCAGACAGTATTTTAAAAAAGTTCTCTTGAGGCCAATAAACCCCCACGTTAGAGCGTTGGTGTTCGCGATCATAAAGTTGGCAATCCTGCATAAAGGTCGTGCACGGAATGCTCTCGCGTTGCGAGTTACACTTTGGAGTCTTTGGATATTTCCGCCGGTGTGCGGATATCTGTCCCGGCAACCGCCATCCCGGGCGAGGTCGAACATAGCAGTGCATGGTCTGCGAGGGCGTGGAAGTGCTTGGCAGGGGTACGCGTTGGGGTTGGGTCGGGAAGGGAACAACGGCGACTGTCAGTGGAGCCGAGTCCGAAGCCTGGTGGAACTGGCGTCGGCGCTAGTGGGTGATGTGGGGACTGTTGAGGGTGGAGCCACGGCGAGGGCCCAGTGGGATGGGCGCAGATTTAGATTGGAAAGGACGAGGCGAGTGGAAGTGACAGGCGCTAGCGTTGCGCGGGCCGCAGACGCAAAGAGACTGCAGGAAAAATGGCGACGGTTTTCGTGATCGGGAGGATGTTTGGGGCAGGAGCGGTTCGGAAGCAACGAGAGTGGCGGCGGCGGCGGGGGAGCTGGTCGCTGGGCGGAGCGGGCGTGGAACAGCGGGGCAACGGGGTGGGACGGCGGCGGGTGGGGCTGCAGGGCGCGGACGGCGAGGGCGGGGCGGCGCGGCGTTCTGGTACGGGCCAATAGCCAAGGTTAATGCGACGCAGTGACAGCTCCCTGCGGCCAGATATATGGGCTTCGGTATCGTATGTTTACGAACAAAAGCGACGACTTCCGCCGGCTCGAGTGGATGTGTGTGTGTGTTTTTTCCTTTGTTTCCGAGTAAAAACGCTTCCGCTTCGCGTATCGCGCCGGCCCATCGAGATGCCGCGCCGCGGAAGAGCGGCTACTGGGCCCGCGATCGCCCGCCTTCCGCCCGCGGCGTCACGCCCCGCGACCCGCGCCGCACGCGCCTCCTCGCACGGCACGGCGGCGCGTCCTCAAAAAGGAGCCCGGCGGGAGGGGGAGATTTTGTCCCGGGCACTTAAACTGACTTTCCGGTATTTGGGTAGCTTTCTGAGCGTTCTTTTCTGGAAACTAATCCGGAGAATTGCGACAGAAATGCTTTAAATGTTTTTTGAATGAGTTTGTTCTAGTTCCGTTGTTCACCAAGAAGAAACATGTGAAATTTAATATTAAAATTCACATCAGTTCTTTCTCTATCTTCCCTTTGAAACATTAAGGTATAACACGATTCGGAAGTGATGATAGCAACGTCTGTCATTTGGAGGAAACAAATATAATCATGTACATAAAAGAGCTTCTGTATAAAATGACCTTTTAACTGTCACGGGGAAACTACTATTGCTTGTAGTTAATTCTTTTAATAATGTCTCTTATAGTTCATTCTTCTCGTGTAATAAAATCATTAAGAAATCAGTGAATGTGAGTTCCAACTACAATCTGTAACGAGTAGAGACAAGCTAATGTATATGCAAGAGAATCTACATGCAAAGGGTGAGAATGGAATAATACAGATACGAGGCGAAAGTTGTCAATAAATATGAATCAGGAAGAATCCTTGAAAATTTTATAAAATCATGGCCCTCGAATTTGGCGAAGACTAGTGTGAAGTGCAAACCTTACACATGCTTTATTCGTTCCTTGCCAACTTATACCAGCCCAAAATGCTAACTTTCTCCTCCGATCAAAACTTCGCATCTGCCGGGCTCTCATACGGGAATGCATGCTTCATTTTTCTTTCCCCCTTCTCCTGCCTCCTTCACCGCCCAATTCCTGCCTGTTGTCGTGAAACAATTTGAAGAAACGAGTGCTATATATCAAAGTCCCGTACTTGCGCCCGCTTTGTCTGCCGTTAGCATGGCTTGTGTCCTTTTCTCCTTCTCCGTTAGAATTCTCTCGGAAAGGATTGCGTTCGCTTTTCGCATTTTTTGCAAAGATGTGTCAGTGTCAAGTAATGCGTTTACCGGCGGTAACGAGTCATAATCCGGAAACTCGACTCCAACTTCGATTAATTTTCAGATTGTTCTTAAGCGTTCTCCGCCGCGATGAAAGAGAAGAAGTTCCGCCAATTCTCATGGCAGAAATAATAGGATTTTATTATTTCTTTTCAAACGATTTTGCGCATGGAAACATTGTCGTGTGAAATTATACGGTGATCTTTCTCCCGCAAAATTATTTAACAAAGTTTTAAGTAATGCGATAGCTTTGGAAGTGAAACTATTTCATGTTTTCGGAGTTAAATGTGAGAGATGTTTTATCAAAAAGACGAGCTGGAAATTTTCAAGGAAAAGTAGTGAAAACCAGTTCTAATTGACCGCACAATAGTTCTTATCCCGAGATTGCCCAGATAATCGTTGAAGAAGTAGAGCAGTTAGTTCCTTCTGTGGTCTCAATCTGCTATTGATTATTTTGTGCAGCACATACATTGACTAAAATACCTGAGATCAAGTTCTTCTTTCTTCTTTTTATTGGCCATCCACTAAATGTACGTACTGAACATGTTTAAGAGACATACTCCGCAGAGCATTTAAGCTGGCACTTTTTATCGCTTAGTAGCATTACACCGATTTACTATCGTGATTTTCTTTAAAACTGCGCCGTGGCTGAAGAAAAAAGCGGCGGGTGTCGCCTGGGCGGCACCGCCATGTGCCGGCCCGGGAGCGTTGAGAGTAAATCCAGTCCTGATGACGCCATTACCGGTCGCCGTCTGCCAGGAGCGGTTTTTCGCTCCCGCCACGGCCGGGCGTTTGTGCCTCCGAAGCAGCGGGTGTTCTTGAACGTAAATTGAAAAGGACTTATTTCCAATGCTGCGGGGCGAGGCGGCGGGGTGGGTGGGGAGGGCGGGGGCGGGGCGGCGGCGGGCGCGTCGGGGCGGAGAGGAGCGTACGGCATGCGCGCGCTTCGATCGGCGTCGCTCGCGCCGGCCGGCGGCTGACGCGCGACTGACGCGCGAGTTAACGCGCGTTAGCAGGTGGCTCGGCTGGACGCCGCTGACAAGGCCGCGTCGCAGGGCGGCGCGGCCGGCCGTGCGTCGGGCCCGCCCTCCCCGCTTCCCTGCCCGCCCCGCCGCGCTCTCACCGCGCGCCCCGCCCGCCCCGTCAAGATGTCCTTTGCATATTAAAAACAATGGCACGCCGAGCATCGCGGGCGTTGGCCCACGGAGACCGCGCCCCCTCCCACGAACGCCCCGCTTCCATGGCGGCCGGTCTTA